AACAAAAACATCCATCCAAGGAGTAACCGAAAATATGTTGGTTGATTAATCACTGCTATCTTGCACAGTGGATTTATCAAGTGTTAAGTGTTAAGTGTTTACACGAGTGTTAAGTGTAGGTGTTTACACAAGTAAGTTTGCTAAAGAAGATGGAATACACCTATATCTTACGTGAACAGCTGAGAAAGAAACATGAGTTATTATATCCAGAAATGCTATAAATGTATTTTTAAATATTAGATTGTTACAAAGAAATGTGATATCAGACACGTTTTTTCGTACAGCTGCAAAAGTATGCGATATTTTCCGTTATGTGGACATTCACAGACACATTCTTTGAACAAGGGAATTGACTAATATCATACATATAACTTTGGTCGGTTGCAATTATGATATTTTCATTTTGTTTCCATTCATATGCTGTAGCACTGAACAGGATAATTCTTGTTCCTCTACGTTATCATTGGGAAGTTCTTCGATGCGAAACATACAACACTAAGTCATTGTTTTCACAAGCCTTTTCGTTTTTGTATATGTTACAATTAATGTGTAAAATATGATTCACTCAGGCAATTTATACAATGACTAAATATTTCAGTCATTTTACAAATCTACTGAAAAATCTGTCCATTTATTTAACAGATTGACTAAAAATTATTAAGATGTTCAAAGGACTTAAAATATCACAATAGACTAATAATGCTTGGATAAGAAGCCACAGAAATAGAAATGTACTTTGACTTTCATTTTCTTTTAATCCTATCACTTTCATTCACTGGATAATGAAATCACATCAAAATGTTTGGAATTAGCTGTCATAATACAATAAATGGACAGATTTTTCAGTCAATTAGTAAAATAACTGAGTATTTAGATGTTAAATAAATTGCCTTAGTGAAACTTGTTGTCATTTACAACGGACTATAACATATACACACAATAAAATAAGCAATGCTCGGGTGAAATATTTAGGTTTTTTTACAAGTCAAAATAGTGTCTCACAATACCAAGCAAGTGAGTCTGTGAGTCTGTAACTTTGTTACCAATACTGATGCAAACCCCGCAAAATACCTACATTTCCTTATTATTTCCCAGACAAAACTGTATGTCATTTTGTTGATCAAAGTAACGATATGCCCTTACACTATCAATAAAAGTGACAAAAAGCTTACTGTGGTTTCTGGGATATCATCGGGGTACTCACAGGGAACAAGAACAAGGGCAACAACCAATCCTGGGGATTCATTGCTGAGATCAGTGTCCTTAATAATGTTAACAGAAGAAAGTCTGAATAATATGTGACTATGCTGACCTCTGACAATGGCCGATACTTATTCATTGACCCAGTTGCGGTGACACAGTAAAAGAAATATCAAAAGCTAATTCTGTTACCATGGTTACTCGCATTATATTACCATTTGAAAATTACACAATCTGTGGAAGCAGACCTTATTCATATTTATCCCATTCATATTCAATGGTAAATTGGTAAACCAAATACACGTGGACACAGACCATGACCATAATGACTGTTTCAACCAGTCCAAAGCCGGGGCAGAATAGAGCTTAGTTGAATTATCTTTGCTGATAATAGTCAATATGTTCATGTTAATATTGGCTGAAAATTATATTAATTGTTCAGGCTGATAGACTAATACAAGTTTGGTACTTACTAAGTAATTGTAATGACATTCAACATGATAAAAACAAATCATACGTACAAGAATTTACAGTTATTTGTCAATGCCAATCTCATAACTAGTATAAGAAATATCAAAATAGATTCATAAACAAATACAGGGATGTGAGCAGGTTTTCCGGGGAAAAAAAGAGGAAAAGATTTAAGCAATTTCGTGCCAAGAAATGTAATAAGTCAGTAAGCAGAAGATGATTTTTTCCAAGGACTACTGTTTTGAAAAACGTGATTTTCCACGTTTCCTGGGAGATTTCACATCCCTGCAAATATAAACTTTCAACTACCAACAATATGGTCTCTGAAATAATCAATTAAATCAAACTAGTTTTTGTGTCGATCAAGAACTGCAAACATTATCCAAAGTAACAATCTTGTAAATAAGACAATTCAGCCCAATTTCTGTTTGTGAAAACGTGATTTTTACAGTAAACACTCACACACAGTTTCAGCTCCGACATTTCTAGAGAAGAAAAGATGCCAATTTCCTATGCTGTGAACTGACACAATCCTTCCAAGTCAGTCAAGCCCAATGAACACTATCTGACTAATAAAGCTATTGTCTTATCTGGGTACTTAAATCAGGCAAAAGAAAACATCTTCTCCAAAACATCTGTAGAAAATATCAGTTGAAATGTTCATGCCACATATAACACATATACTGTATTTTCTTGAGTATAGTGCGCACCCATGTTTTATGGTTGTATTTCTTTTTTAAAAAGTGCACACTTTACTCAAGAAAATATGGTTGGAGTCCTCATATACCACATGTTAGTGACAGATGTCCTGCCTTTGTAGACAATGCATTGAAGCCCTATAAACTGCAACAAGACTGACTTGGGCTAAGCAACAGTAATTAACTCATCGGGGATTTATCCAGAATTCAAAAATAAAGTGCCAAAGGCAGGTAATTTGGGGGAAGATATTGTTATTTTGTTCAAATTGGTAAGTGAAATACAAGTCAACAGTACAAAGCCATAACAATAGTTATTCCTATATATAAGATTGCTACGTGATAAATCGAAAAGAACAGTGAAGAACTAAGTGTGGTTTACTTCACGACTAAACACTGTTCTATCATGTCATCATTCTTGGAGATTCGAACATACGTTCGCAACTGGATGATGGCGTAAATTAGACAAGGCTATTTTTGAGAGGGAAGTGTCCAGTGCGTTGGTCCCCATAGATGTAGTTGGGCAATTTGGATAAATGCAAAGGCTGAACGTTTGCATTCAAAAGTGGGAGAGATATGACAATCGGTATTGGGAGAAAAGTATAGATAATTGATGTGAAAATTGTGAGAACATCCGGGAAATACCTACGTAACCCCCCTGTTCATAACATGGACTTGTCCGACATTGCCGAGGTCGGATTGTATTCAGGGAGTCATCGTAATTTAAACACAGGTAAATGCTTTTAAAGCTTTACATTTTATAAGCATCCTTAAAGAGGAAGTACAAAATGTTGATATCTCATATAATAAATAAGCGACTCGTGGTCGTTGTTTATCATACAATAAAACATGCCCCTCCCTGCATTGTTTTATCGACATTAAACAGCTCCCACTCATCGCCTATTTCTTAAATAACATCAGTTGTAAAAATTTGTAATTCCAGTTTGGGAATATTTACTGACAAGTGCTGCTCCCATGGGGCTGAACTAACCTCCGAGAGCTCAAGATAAATCCCTGCTAATTATTACTCAATAAAAAACAAAAAGGTAATTAAACTCAAAGTTGTCACAAATGATCTATATTTTAACAACAGTAGGATAAAAACCAGAGTGCAACTTTCATTAGTCTGCTAGCTCAAGTCTGAATGTCAGTAATGTTAAAGGTATCCTGAGGATAGCAGAATTTCACTTTTTGGAGGGGACGTCCTTATACTTTATCACTATACAAGATAGTGAAATGATTCAGGTTAAGCTACATCCCTGAAAATGTATGGTTGCTACAGCACATTCCAAATGCAGGACACTAAAGCTTGGCAACAGAGGAAGTTGACCAATGCCTACACATCTGGGTGTCGGCTTGATTGTTTTGTTTTGTCTTTCTCAAGACATGCAGGTTTACTAGTATTATCCTGAAATGAGGAGGCAAATAATGCTTTTAACACTGCTATTTTTTTCTCTAGACATCCAGCATGGCAAGCAATAGCTTTTGTAAAATCTGAGCCAAACTAATATTTCTTGATTTTCTTGAATGAGTTCAAATTATATTTACCAAATTATCTGAGGTGGGATTGGTTTGGTGTTGTTTTCTATGTGAATGACATATATATGTACTGTCTCATTAGGAGACATACGCTCATTGGGAAACATAATGATGGTTAATCAGAAGTCAATTGTGTATTTTATGATGATTATCACAGTTTGAACTATCATGAAATTGAGTGTGTTTGTTGTTTCAGAAAAGCCGGGATTGATATAATAAGGAACCTTTGAAACTAAGGTAACAAACATCAAATAAAGTATTGATCCACTGACATTTGGTACTCCATTTATTTTGCAACTTCATCAATAATGTTCCACGTTGAGTGTAGGAGATGGTGCCAAGAAGTAACTGGGAACTTATTATGGTTCTTCTCTTGTGGCTTCTGAAGAGAATATTCGACATATTTATCAAAATATATGTTTTTCATTTGCAAGCAATTTTTCAAAATATAGTTCTATATAGTTTAGCAATGTGAAATCTCTCTGGGCTTTGTTTAATGGTGTGGCTCTGTGGTGAATACACCCAATACATTAATTATCATGTTATTTATTAAATATCTTTCAATGAAAAATTAGCAACTAGAATCAAATGTTAATACTCAGCTGATAGTGACATTTGGTCTTAGTCAACTAAAGACTCATTGCAGTTGTGGTAATGAAACAAGTTCATAACTTCATATATGAGGGTAAAAAATCGGATCTTATCCAAGGCAAAGTAAACATATGGTCAGTTCTGTGATGTAAACTAAATATTGCTGATTGCATCATACAAAAAACATTTAATCAGGGGAACATGGGTGGTGGTTCAAAATATGCATTGGAAGTGATTAAAGTTACACAGGAACTTCTACGCATCGCAATCCTCATAGGCCTACACATCTAATAATATGATACACTGTACATTTGTTGGGACATTAACAGTATGACTGTTGATTTTAAAGGAAGTTATCTCTTATGAATTCGGTATTATCCTGAACTCATGACCATGGCGTCAGGAATATTCTTTGTTTACAAAATAAAACAAGTGGATCGATCTCAGGCCAAGTAGAATATAAGGAACATGTCGACAACACATCTTTGTAAATAAGTAAATTACCCATTATAAAGTCTGAAAATTCTGCATTAAGGTTTCCCGATTCTGGTCCTTTTCGTTTACTCATTTTTGTTGATTGCAGAAATAGTCGAAATTTGCTGACTTTCGTACACTGGCTTCTTACTGTCCACAAACGCCAACGAGCGAGCATCTGTTTACGTATCCCATCATCCCTATCAACTTCCGGTCGGCTTGACAGGCAATGATAACATTCGTTATTTCTTTAACCAACGTTAAGATTCGCATGGTTCAAATCAAATGTGTAATGACTCGAATAGTTATTTAATATTTTTTTGATCTGAGCGTCAGATATGAAGTGTCAAATTTTAAATATCAATGGAATCGACAACTCTTTGCCCATGCTAAAAGTTTAACTTAACCCGGAAGTAAACGTAAGGTCACGGGTGCCTTATAAATACCGTTCACCGTAACGTGGCACAGATATTGACAGACGATTGTGAGAGGTGTACGACGTTTTATTCAGTGTGTATCGAGATTCAGAGACATTCTTAAATATGTGTGGTAAGTACTCAAAGAAATAATGCTTTATCCACGAACAGTGCTACTATTAGCAAGCGACAACACGTTGTTTGTGTTGACTGTGTTATGTTGATTTCGGCTTGGAACGTGTTCCATTGACAGGAGATTTAGGTCTCTCCTGGCTCTTGCTGAAAAATTACCGAACGGGGCGGGCAAGCCAACCTAGTTTGTTTGCTGCAACTCTCATGTTTTGTCGTCATCTTTTAGGAACAGGTAATATCTGCATGAAAGAACAGACGTGCTGTATTATTGTAGAGATCGTAGAGATTTCGTCATATTCATAATATTTTGAATGGCTTTACTGAGATTATGACATTAATCAAGTACATACAAGTTCTATACCATAACTAATTGAGATGATATCTGTTTTGGTTTACATCTATATAAATCCAGTTTTCTGTATCTAATAAATATGCAACAAACCAGATATTGTATTAATTATCTCTAGATTTGGATTACCCAAATTTAGCGTTTTTTAATAACAGCCCCATATGCCTAATCGCTGACAGTCGTTGTTGTCATTATGATTGTACTGGTGTCTGTTTTGAATTATGTTTAAAGAAATGAAGATACACACCTACCCCTTTTTTTGTTATGCTGAGGTATGCTGCATTATTTCATGGTTATTTGATGAGGCGACTAGTCATCTAATACTGTTGTGTGAGCTTCAACATGTAACATAACAGTTCCCTAGATAAAATTCTTTCTCATTTAAAGGCATATTGAAACAGGAATTGTCATACGTTGAAATGCTTCACCAAAAAACACATGCTATGTAACTCTCTCTAGATTATGTAGATCTTGTCATGTGATGTGGAAAGTTACTTTTATTTGTCATACTTTTTTAATATAAGCTTGACATTCTGCATTCAGGTTTCAACACAATGTTGAAATAATGAATATTCAGTAAGTTGTTGGCTCAATATTTGATAATATTGTTCTAGAGATATATGCAACAGAAATTAATATCATTTGCACATATCTCACTTTCAATACATGAAATAGTGTTTTTGTAGAATGAAGAGTTCCATCTGTGCAAGGTAGAGTCTGATGCCATCAGGCCATCTGTTGCAAGAATAGGTTCTTTTGAGGCCATTTCTGTCTTGGCAAGGTTTGGTCTGATGATAACATTCCATATATTGCATCAGTTGGTTCTTCAGGTATTCATTTAGGCCTGTTCAGACACCAATATTTGACCAAAAATGTCAGTTGAAATTGTTCTTATAAAAGAAACAACTCCCAATTCATCCTTATGTCTTAATAAAGGTTACTTGTTTTTCACTGATATTGGGACCAGTATCGGGAAAGGGGTTTTACTGTTTGATTTTACATCACAGTAGTGAATGCAATGACAAAATACAATGTTGAGATACATCTTAATTTATGAAAATAAGAACTTTTAGACATGCTTTTCCCCCCAAAATTTGTCTACCAAGGGCACTTAGATTGTAATTTTAGATAAATCGGAAGACATTTAACTTTTACGGATCAGTCCCATGTTCTTCCTTCATGATTGGACACTAGCACACCAAAGAGTTATACACTAGCACACCATGGAAGTATACACTAGCACACCACTGAAGTATACACTAGTACACCACGGAACTTTACACTAGCACACCACTGAAGTATACACTAGTACACCACATAATTATACACTAGTACACCACTGAAGTATACACTAGTACACCACAGAATTATACACTAGTACACCACTGAAGTATACACTAGTACACCACGGAATTATACACTAGTACACCACTGAAGTATAAACTAGCACACCACGGAAGTATACACTAGCACACCATGGAAGTATACACTAGTACACCACAGAAGTATACACTAGTACATTACGGAATTATACACTAGTACACCACTGAAGTATACACTAGCACACCACGGAATTATACACTAGCACACCATGGAAGTATACACTAGCACACCACTGAAGTATACACCAGTACACCACGGAAGTATACACTAGCACACCACGGAATTATACACTAGCACACCATGGAATTATACACTAGTACACCACTGAAGTATACACTAGTACACCACAGAAGTATACACTAGTACATTACGGAATTATACACTAGTACACCACTGAAGTATACACTAGTACACCACAGAAGTATACACTAGTACATTACGGAATTATACACTAGTACACCACTGAAGTATACACTAGTACACCACGGAAGTATAAACTAGCACACCACGGAAGTATACACTAGCACACCACTGAAGTATACACTAGTACACCACGGAAGTATACACTAGCACACCACGGAAGTATACACTAGTACACCACTGAAGAATACACCAGTACACCACGGAAGTATACACTAGCACACCACGGAATTATACACTAGCACACCATGGAAGTATACACTAGCACACCACTGAAGTATACACTAGCACACCACGGAACTTTACACTAGCACACCACGGAAGTCTACACTAGCACACCATGGAAGTGTACACTAGCACACCACTGAAGTATACACTAGCACACCATGGAAGTATACACTAGTACACCACTGAGGTATACACTAATACAGTTCTCTGATCAAACACAGTAAGCTTCGTTTGCCTAATACATTTACAAAATAAGCATTACTCATTTGAATTTTATTCAAGTAAATTTATCTCCGTACTTTGAAACAGTGGTGCACCATAGTTTACCTTTGATAGTTGATTTGTTTTGATCAAGTGAGAAATACATGGGACTTAAAGTCACTTACTCCCTGATCTTCGGAGGGCGAATAAACACCATCCTTGAGTAAACGGCTTCTATTTGGGCAGCATCGACCCACACAGAGGTTTGTACTTGTGTGCCATGTCAACTCATGTCGTGATGTTGCCCATCAGCCGAGGTGCCCACACTCGCACACCCAGAACCTAACGTCAGTTGCAGCGAATGTGTAAAAAACTACGTTCCCGTCAACTTGCTGATAAGTCTATCCCTAGGCGTGGGCATCCTATGTTATGTCAGGCCTGTTGCCTGTCTTATCATGTCTTCTGTCATTGGACGTACTTCAGCAGATTAATTTTCATGTTTAGGGGATTGGTGAATTTCCTTGTGTGACGTTTTGTTGCAAATGAATCCTGTAAATATTTTAAATTTTAGACGTTTTCATTATTTGAAAACATGATATCACAAATATAAATTTTGATTGAAACTTTCATAATGTGATGTGAATCTTTTCAAAAATTGATTTAGTAAGTGTTTTAGTCAGGATCACATACCTAAAGGTGACAGTCTCAGTAGGCCAAGTATGTTGCAGGGTCAGGTTAACTGTGATATTGCCTATGTATTGTGACAGTGAACTACTGGCAACAATTCAGTGATACCCAGCCATTGTAGGGACTTTCAATGCCCCGAACCTGTAAAGCTAGCCCTGCCCCAGTTATACCTATGTTTATTTTCACTAACCAGGGCCCACTTGCACAAAACAATCTTAGCGCTACGACTATTGTAAGCCTATGTTAAAGTATGGGAGTTACGATCATCTTAGCACTAAGATGGCTTTGTGCAAGTGGGCCCAGATGGGGGTACCTTTACTAATGTAGCATTGGGCAGGAGATGAGTGTTTATATTACATTGTTTACGATGGAAGAGAATTTATTGATGAACACAACATTTCAGTACACGTACGTCTTCTTCATAATGTAGAAGTTGACATCCATTAATTCTCTTCCTTATGTGTATCACCTAAATATCATACAAAGACTTGATAAGTGTTAAACTGTTTACAAGGAGACAAAGGTCGTTGACCCACAGAAAAACACATACACATTAATTTCTGAAACAGGTGAGTTTCTCAGGTCATGCGTTACTTGACCCATAGGATGGTGCAGTAGCCTAGTTGTTAAAGATCTGCTTGCCACAGAAAGGATGGGGTACAGTGACAGTTTTGTAACGAAAAGTTCCATAAATGAAATGTTTAAATGTGTTGAAAAGGTTGTCATGAACACAATGAACTCCTTGATTCTTGTACAGTAAAATATGTTCATAACGAACACGCTTATAACAAACCGACGTATAACAAACTTACTTTTTGTCACAGACATTTGCTGTATATATATCATGTATATGCTGTATATAAGCTTATAACAAACTAATATTAGTGGCACCTTTGAGTTCGTTATAACCTTAGTTTAGTGTACTTGTATCATAAGTATGATGGATCCTGTTCCTGATTGTGTAGCTTATTATCCATAACACATAGCTTTTTGTTATTATATACAGTATTGTAAAGTTTGTCAGAACTCCTATTTTTCCAAAGTTCTCACTATTGGGAACCTGATCTAGAGCAAAAACTACAACATCAAGCACAAATGAATGCACAGAACCTGTTACTTTTAATCATTTGAAAAGTGGCATTGTCATCAATATCTTAAAAGAGTCAATTACTTTCAATATGATCGGAGGACATTAGGAGGAAAAGCTGGCTGTGGACGTAGTTCGTAGCAGCTATATTTAGTAGTGAACCGTGGTACCATGGTACCATTGTACAGATCAACCTCAGATCTATGACTGCCATATGCATAAGGTATGGAATTATGGTCATCTTAGCGCTAAGATTGCTTTGTGCAACGGCACCCTGAACTGCTAATTACTGCTCATTTTGCAATATTTGACTGACAAATTTGCGTGGGAGCTATAAAACGAGTAGTAAGTAATTTATGTTAGGGGTGTATCATCCTGTATTAATACAGGAAAAAACATCATTTATCGTATCAGTGCATGAAAACTCACAATGCACCCATGCACTGAGGACATCAAGTGTAACTTTAACTTCATTTGATAGTGGCCTCTGTAAGTGTGATGGGTCTCTTTACGTCAGCAATCTTACAAAGACATCTATTCATCAACATTATCACAGAGATAACTAGCTGAATGTTCAGATAATGTATTTTGCTCCTGCAGGGCAACTTGAGTGCTAGCTTTGTGGCGTTCCTCCGAGTGATCAACA